TTAAGATGTACAATTTATTAATAGTTATTTCGAGTTAAATAGCGAGAATTTCAGATTTGAATGCAAATATTCTTCGAACCCTAGCAACTTATAAATTCTGTACAAATTACCTTAGTAACTCTGGTGTAAGATGATAAGCAGGTTCCCAAGTGCAGCTGGTCATGGGCCAACCTTTCCATTTGATGAGGTAGTATTCCTCCTGAAGTGCAAAAAAACTGTAGCTGACACGGCTTTCAACATTTTTACAGCAATAAATATATTCAGTATCATCAGACATTGTCTCAGTATGCCAATCACAATGATTCAAAAATGTAAAATATGACGTGTGAACAAGTGAATGACTACCATTGAATCAGTAACTGACCTTGTTCTGCATTTTTCTTGATATAATCCTTTCGACATCAAATTTTTTAGGGTACGTCTTGATTTTTGGTCTTTTAGGTTTTGTTTCATACATAATTACAGAAGAAATGTTTTCCAGTTGCTTGCAATATCCCTTATGTGGCCTCCTCGATTCTTTCGTTAGCGACGCCATATTGGATTAAATTCGGCTCGAATACGTCATGTTACTTTGCCCCATGGCGAAAACCGCTGGCGTACTGCTGATTCCCATGACCGGAATTTCTGGCCATGGGCAATGCCATGCCAACGTTTACGAAAATTTCCTATAGGAATTCCTATAAAAATGAAATTCCTATAGGATTTGAAAATTCCTATAAAAATTCATATAAGATTTGAAAATGGTGAAAAAATTCCTTTAGGAAAACGAAATTCCTATATATATATACATACAGGAAATAAAAATTCCTATAGGAATTCCTATAGGATTGGAAAATAAATTTATTCTAACATTAATTAAATTAATAATTACCGCAATGTGCGCGACCAACAGACTGCTGTCTAGTTTTTTGCCACGCGCACAAAGCATCTTGGGATAGGTCATCACACCTCCGATATTTTATAAATTTTTTGTTTGTGAATGCTTTATATGTTCAAAATAGAACTATTTTTGATGAGATTCAACTGGATTTTCACTAGTAATACATCAGTGATGTTTGTATAATGTTCAGGTGAGCATATGTTTATATTTTGTTTATAATAAAGCAAATTATAAAGGAATACCTAGTCCAATCTTAATTCGTGAAATTCGAGCATGTGTTTTGATTGGTTTAAAATTTGAATTTGCCGCGACAATAATGGATTAGAATGCTGATATAAATATATTTATCTGTCATTAATACTTCAATAAATGCTACTATAAGAGTTTTATATTTGAATTAGACTTATCAATGTTTATTGGTTAAAGGGGAAGTCAAGTCCGTAATGTAAACAAACGGTTTGTTTACATTTTGAACTGCTGTATTTTTTAAAATATGATGTACTGTCTGAATATCTAACACCATTTTGGTTCGTTATGCTTCTACATGAATATGAAATAGAGTTTGTGTTCAGAAAAATTCGAAACATTCAAAATTTGGGCAATGTTTACCTCAGAGGGCCCTCTATTGTTATGCGCAGAACCGATGCGCAGAACGGACTTGACTTCCCCTTTAATATATTTGTATATGCTAACTGTATATGCAAGATTAATTGCAGACATTAAGCATGCCTATACATATATAGACTATATAGTTCTATATGCTCATATTACATATAGTTTGAAAATTTATCTACTTGCTCAAATCAGCAGCAACCTTCCTAAGATTCTGATATTTATTCATATGTTATTGTTCAAATTAAAATGGATATTTCATTGGTAGAGGTGTAATTGCACCAGTCAATATGAATTAAAATATGTTAGCCTTAGTGTAATGCCAGGAAAATTCTCCATATTTTTTTATGAAATTAATATTTAACTATGTGATGGTATATTCAAGTTAATGAGACTCTCTACTTACATTTCACGCTAACTCGTTAGGATGAATATGCTCAACTTTCAGTACTTTTTTATTTTACCTTGTCTAACACCAGATCAAATATTTTACTTGTGAAAGAGAGTGGATAACATTGATAGGTTATCTTGCTTTCCCCCTGTGTTATGTGTAAACTCATTAAGACCCAATTCACACTAATCTGCTCTATTTCAAAGCTCAATATTTTGGCCTGTCTAACACCAGACTATTTTGCATTGTATTTGTTTGTTGTTAACACATTTAGATCGATGCAATTCATCCAAACACTCCCCACTTTCAGTACTTTGATAGTTAATTATCAGATGATTTTACTCATCAAGATGAGTGTTGGTTATTGAAAGGTTAATAATTAACTGCAAAAGCTGCTGTGTTGGCATATTTAGAAGCAATGTGCCCTACTTAAATCAGTACTTTGTTATTTTATTAAATATTTATTCCATTAATGTGCCAGACTCTCCACTTAACAAATAAAATTGTCTGTCATTAGACATATAGTAAAACATGATTTGACAGAGTAAAGTTGTCTTCTGTTAGACAGAGTAAAATAATAAATTTGGTGCAAAAATGCTTGATGGAGATTTGGCTGCAGAATATAGGGTATAAATTTTCTGTCGGTATAATCATTTTTGTCAAATCTGGCAAAATCTTGACGTTTGAATTATTTCGTCCTGCAGATGATAGAAGTTGTAGAAGGATCTGGCATGTTCTGGAATTGCCACCAGTGGGCATATTGCTCTGCAAGATTTTCTAATGAAGGCCCTACACCAAGTCAGGTGATACAAAAAATAAACATGAAAAGTGTAGAAGCCAGGCGTCCACAAAGAGTTTGAATAGTCTGCAGTCAAGCCCACAAGTTGAGAGGATCGACTGAGGACATTATAGATACAGATACATTTGTATAGATCAATAAGCACTTAGCAATTGACATTATTGCATGTTTGTATATATTAGTTATACCATGGTAATTTAGTTAGACAAACTTTGCAAGTTCATTAAGAAATAGTAAATTAGTTAGCAATTTTGTAATTTGTTTATTTATTAACTATGTTATTTATTTGTGTATTGTGTTTTTGAAGTTTTTTCATGTTAATAAAACTATGTATGCCACCAGTACAATTTTCTTGAGCTGTAGCAAGTATATTTGGAATGGTATGGCCACTTGTTTTCATCCCATACCAAACCCACATGTGTTAGCATCTAGCATTTGGGTGTTAGATGTTAACATAGGTTTGGTATGGGATGAAAACAAGTGCCCATACCATTCCCAATATAATATGATAATTGTTGCACCCATACCATTCCCATAGTTTATACATCAAGAACCATACAAATTCCATATCATGTTCCCAGATCATTCCCATATAGAATCCTATCTTACCCATAGCAAAGTTGTTATGAAATGATATAAGGAACCCATGTATTCCCCATAGTAAGTCATATGGGATATGTATGGATTTGTACCAAATACGTATCAAACCCATATCAAAAACATGATATGGGTATGCTATGAAGGCAACCAGGCCATACCAAAGCCATATACCTCTCATATATGGCCCATAGGTTGAACCATATCAATCCCATAGTTGGTCCATATATGTCCCATATAATTTGGTTTTGTAAATTGTTAGAATGCATGCCATGTTGAATTAATAAAAGCCATCAAACTTGGACGGCCAGTTACTTTCTGTTATACAATTTTTCTTTTTAACACTCCTTGAAAAGTGCTATTTTACTACTTAAAAAGTCCTTAATTACTCCTTGAATTTACCTTTCTAAGACCAGCACGAACCCTGAAAATATTCATCTCACCTTGATATATATTCTAGGATACACGATGTATCTGTCTGAACAGCCAGATAAATTACTGAAAATAAACGTTGTCCGCAATATTTAATAGCAAAACGAGGATCATGTATACTTTGGCGTCACAAGTGGTTCTGAGTCATATCATGCATGGTCATATATAATTCCATACCCCATTTTGATATTCGAGACATCGTCGGACAATTAGATCGCTTCCGTTGTTTTCCGTCGCTCAATCTGGAGTATCTAATTTCAACTTTCCTCCTACGTCACAAAACGTCATAAATTGACCGACATACCGACATCCTAAAATTTTGCTCGAGTCAAGAAAATGAAATAAAAAGAATTTACTACATCCAAGCCAAAAAAAATGAAAATGTTTACAAAAAATATTAAACGAAACTAAATCATTATAAAAGATCCAAAAAGATGTATTACAAGGAACAATTTATTAAACATAAACAAAATACAAAAATGATCTGGAAAACAATTAATGAATTACTTAATAAACATGCTCGAAAGAAGGAATTTATACCAAAGGAATTCTTATTGAGCAATTCTTCAATACTACTTGCAACCCTGTTGCAATTGCTAATAAATTCAATGATTATTTTGTGAATCTAGAACCCAAGCTTGCAATACAAAATAAAACACAAATTAGCAAATTTATATTAATGAGACATGGTGCAATGGTAAAATGAGGAGGAAGGTATGGTTTATATCAACCTAATCTCTGACAGTTTGGTCAAAGATCTTGACAGATAGGTCAAAGATGATCTTCTGCCAGCTAGCACACAATTCACGTGAACAAACCGTGAAACTTACTGTGAACCAATTGAAAACTTCGTACAACTCTGTTTGTGCTTTGATCAATCACAGGGCATAACACAGCCCATCCTAATTGGTGCATAACATGCACGAGTTCATGCAAAATAACGTAATTTACTCAGAGCTGTTGACAGACTAACATTATCGTTAGCTGTTGACAGACTAACATTAACGTTTTTTTCGTGGTATTGTATATATATGTTACACAATTAATGCCCCCAATACGAAAGCACAAGGATAGTCTAAGTGACTTTCACAAAACATGTGCGGAGAAGGGCCTTTCGACTAAAGGCCCGAAGGCAACTTTGGTATCTCGGTTACAACAATATGCTTCGTCTCGACCTTCTACTATGTACAGCCGCCGGATACTGCAACGCCAAGTACCTCAATGTCAAAAACTTCCACATACCCCAAGCCTGCTAAATGACACAAGTTCGATCTATTGTATCATGCAGTATGGAAGAACTAATAACGAATGTGAATGCATTGCAATGTTCAGCGACCTCGCCAAACAAAAGTTCGCCAGCGACGCTAAAGGACTCAGTAGCAGATCATCACGCCACTTCATCAACAAGAAGCCCTGACCCAGTACCTGCCACTGTGCTGACCATGATTATTCCAGATTTTCCTCCTCATGCACGCGAGAATGAATCCTTTGTTCCAAATCAGATGCCATATTACAGCCGCCCCGCATTGGATGTGCCCCCATGCCGCATTGGATGTGCCCCACATTGGATGTGTAAGCAGATACAAACGGGTCAGTTTTTTGATTTAGCAAAATTATTAGCTCATGAATTCCCTTCCACCGCAGATGAGGATGCTATGATGGTCTTAACCATGGAAGGCCCTATATGTCCCTCATTCACTATGCCTACCAAACCCATCGGGGCCCTTGGTTGGTGTATTTGCGACCATAAATTTGGCTGAAAGGCTGCCCTCAACACAAGTCTAAATTGGTCACAAATTGAACAGCAGCTATTGGTTGTCTTTTTACAATACCACCTGACATTTTAAGACGGGAATACCCCTTTTCTCAAATGTGCCCCAGCAAAATACTACCCTCTCAGGGTCCGCTAGAAGAGGAAATACCTGCCATGAATATAATAAAAGGAGTCAGTGTAAAAACACCAGTTGTCCCTACCATCACAAATGCAACAGATGCTCAGGTACCCACCCAGACTTGAGCTGCAACCAACATCGACCTGAGCATGACCAATTCCTCAGGAGCAGTGAAAAGTCAAAAAAGTCTAAGCATGATATTACATTCACTCTTGATATTACATATATTATTGGTGCACAAAATATATTTTTGCTTCTAAGTTCTTGTTGAGTGATTGGAATAAGAAATGTGGTTCGGGATGAAATCTCCATAAAGTGTCAACTTCAGGCCCATAGACTCAATATATGTCACACATAATAGATCTAAGGACTGTCCATGGGGGTTTATCCCCCATGTTCAGGACTGGCCATATGGGCTTAGTGCTGCACTTGTTAAAAACATAGAAGCAGATAAGTGTTTTTATTTTTTTTCTTGCGGTCCGAAGTCATATTTTACGCTTTTCTGCAATCTGATTGGCTACGTGAGCGGTCCGTATGAG